TTGCCGTTGGCCGAGCTCCGTGGCCTCTCGCAGTGTAACCCCGAGGCTGTGGTTTTACAGGGGTAGTGATGCCTGAGCCGGGGTCCTGTGAAGGTGAGCTAGAAGCAGATGTACAAGCCCATGGCAGGTCCACAAAGATGTCCACGCACCCTTCCGTCTGTACGTGACCGTCACGGCTGCCTCCTCTGGGCCCGGCACAGGTCCACGGGCCTGTTCGACATCAGTGAATCGGGCAGACTCCCTACGCGCGGGGACTCTGAAATCTACTTGGGGAGGATTTGAATATGCGTCCTAACCATCATCGTAACTGCCATTTGCTTCCAAGACATGCCCTTTGACCTTCGCCGCACCCTCGTGAGAAGACCAGGCCTGTGACACGGCCCCGATCTGCAGATCCGCGTGCACAGACGTGCACCTGCTTTCTCGACGCCGGAGACCTTGAGGCGAAACACGGACGAGAGGGCGAGACGGCTCGGTCCCAGGCCGGCGCCCTCTGCTCTGTCCCCCGGTCACGGGCCCTTACAGATGTGTGCCCATCACAAGAGTGCTTGCCATGAGAGCTGTCGTTACTCGAGGGCCAGCGGAGAAGCTACGGGGGCAGACGTCCCCTGCTCCTGGGACTGCAATGGAAGCACACCCCACGTGGAAACCAAGGGAGTCGGGGTCCGTCCACGTTGGATCACCCCACCCTCCTGGCCTCAAGTCTGAGCTCGTTCATAGACGTTCAAGGCTGGAGGCGGGTAGGGCCCTGGCTGTGCTGGGCTGCCCTCTGCACGGACCTGTGCGCAGTTTTCTGTGCACGTCGCCCAGCCTTCGGGGAGCCACGGGTGGGCATCGGGCCTTGGGGAGCCCGCGGGTGGGCCTCGGGCCTCAGGGAGCCCGCGGGTGGGCCTCGGGCCTCGGGGTGGGCATCGGGCCTCGGGGAGCCCGTGGGTGGGCCTCGGGCCTCGGGGTGGGCATCGGGCCTCGGGGAGCCCGCGGGTGGGCATTGGGCCTCAGGGTGGGCATTGGGCCTCGGGGAGCTCGCAGGTGGGCATCGGGCCTTGGGGAGCCCGCGGGTGGGCAACGGGCCTCAGGGAGCCCGCGGGTGGGCATCGGGCCTCGGGGAGCCCGCGGGTGGGCATCGGGCCTTGGGGAGCCCGCGGGTGGGCATCGGGCCTCAGGGTGGGCATTGGGCCTCGGGGAGCTCGCAGGTGGGCATCGGGCCTCGGGGAGCCCGCGGGTGGGCATCGGGCCTCAGGGAGCCCGCGGGTGGGCATCTACGTCCTTATTTCACAGGTGAGCCACCAGCTGGGGGAGAGGAAGCCCAGGGTCAGAGCAGGGGTCTGGCTCGGCCCAGATGGTTCTCCGTGATCTGTGTTGCAGTAACTCAAACACTCAGAGTTCTCAGCTTCGTGCCTGTTTGCCGTCCTCTCTCTCATTTAGCCTGTAAGGCTCCGGTCAAGCTGCCAGCCCTTCCCAGGGCGTCCCTGCAGCCCCTGGCCTGCCCCGCCAGCCAGTGGGTGATGGTCTGCGTGTGCTCAGTACCTGGTGCGCATGGCGTGCACGTCGCCGGTCGGTTAGGACGGGGTGGCTGCCCCTCTCGCCAGGCAGTGAGCTCCGTTACCTGTGCAGGCCCAGCCCGGGCACCGTTCCTGCCTCCCAGGACGCTGACCCGCTTATTTGTTGGGCTGAATCAGAACCAGGCGGATGCCGGCAGCTCGCAGAGTCTGACACCGACCCCGGGGTGCTTCGGGGAGAGCGAGCGGTGAGCGTGTCTCCGGCCCTGGGCACTGAGGTCTCGAGGCCGACCGTGGGCGTCAGCGTCCTCTGGGGGCGGGAGGCCGCAGGGGTTCTGCTCTGAGGAGCAGTGCGAGGCTGCAGGGCCTCGATGAGCCATCTCCTCCGGCTCCTCCGGCTCCGCAGGCAGGCAGCCTCGCTGTGCGCCGCCCCCAGGATTTACGGTCTAGCTCCTGAGCCAGGTCTCTGAGCTGAGCTCACCGCCTTCACTCCGTCCACCTTCGGAGGGAGCCGGAGCTGTGGGCCGCAGGGGAGTTCTCCGGGGCCATAACTCTGGGCTCATCCTGCTCTCTTCTGGCCCTGGCAGAAAAACTGAAATTATGAAGCTTCATCTCCTGCCCCGCGATGCCACGTGAGACCCATGAATCTTCAGCTCCCTTCAGAAAGGCTGCAGCCCGCTAGACAGATGACTGGTGGGACCCCGTTCCTCTGACGAGTGAGGGAGCCCGCGCGGCCTGACCTGGAGGGGCGCTGCCGGGGCTCGAACCCCTCCGTCCTCAAACACACCGCTCTTCACACAGCACGCACGGCACACGCCGTATCCCGGGCGACGCCCTCCTTGTGTGGTCGGACCCACTGCTCCGCTCATTTAATTGCCTCGAGAAACTCCTCATCACTGCAGATCCATCCCCGGGTCCTCGATGACATTTCCCACGCAATCAATTATTAATCCCCTGATCATTTGCTCAAGACATTAATAGACTTCATTGATCAGCACATCCTGTCCGTCCGAAATGGCTCATCGCCGTGCATGGCGGAGGCTCTGGGCGTGCGCAGCGGGGAGGCGGCGCCCCAGCCCGTGAGCAGGCAGAGCGCCCTTGGTCCTCAGCACACGCGCCGGCGGCTGTGTCCGGAACGGGGTCTGAGGGCCCAGGGCCGGCACGTCCCGAGCAGCGGTTGTCACTTTCCCTTCGCTGCTCTGATCACACCCAAGAGACCAGGGCAGAGCCTGGCCCAGCGAGGCACACGGCACTGTTGTCCTGGGACCCTGCTCACAGGGCGTCACCCTCACCTGGGGTGGGAGGAGAGGCCCCGGGTCACCAGCAGCTTCAACACACGGGGCTGCGCGATGGGCAGCATTGATGGTGCTGCAGCCTTCAGAGAGCTCCGTGTACCTAACCGCGAGGTTTCCCTCGGAACCCCGCGAGAGGCAGACGGGGTGCTGACAGAGGACCCCTGCGAGAGGGAGACGGGGGTGCTGACAGAGGACCCCTGTGAGAGGGAAACGGGGGTGCTGACAGAGGAACCCCTGTGAGAGGCAGACGGGGATGCGGACAGAGGACCCCCGTGAGAAGGAGACGGGGTGCAGACAGAGGACCCCCGTGAGAGGGAGACGGGGTGCAGACGGAGGACCCCCCGTGAGAGGCAGACGGGGGTGCGGACGGAGGACCCCCGTGAGAAGGAGACAGGGTGCGGACAGAGGACCCCCTGTGAGAGGCAGACGGGGTGCAGACAGAGGACCCCCCATGAGAGGCAGACGGGGGTGCAGACAGAGGACCCCCCCGTGAGAAGGAGACGAGGTGCAGACAGAGGATCCCTGTGAGAGGGAGACGGGGTGCAGACGGAGGACCCCCCGTGAGAGGCAGACGGGGGTGCGGACAGAGGACCCCCCGTGAGAAGGAGACGGGGTGCAGACAGAGGACCCCCCGTGAGAGGCAGACGGGGGTGCGGACGGAGGACCCCCGTGAGAAGGAGACAGGGTGCGGACAGAGGACCCCCTGTGAGAGGCAGACGGGGTGCAGACGGAGGACCCCCCATGAGAGGCAGACGGGGGTGCAGACAGAGGACCCCCCGTGAGAAGGAGACGGGGTGCAGACAGAGGATCCCCGTGAGAGGGAGACGGGGTGCAGACAGAGGACCCCCCGTGAGAGGCAGACGGGGGTCGGATGGAGGACCCCCGTGAGAAGGAGACGGGGTGCAGACAGAGGACCCCCGTGAGAGGGAGATGGGGTGCGGACAGAGGACCCCCCGTGAGAGGCAGATGGGGGTGTGGACAGGACCACGCAGCTGGTCACAGCCACAGTTACAAGCAGAGGGTGTCGGGGTCCCTGGTCTCTCGTCCCCTTGCTTGGCTGAGGAAGAAGAGGCACCTGCTCGTCCTCCATCCCCCGTGGGGCCTCATCTGCTCATGAGGCGTCTCGACCAGGACGCCGCCCCTCCTCCGCCTTGCCTGCTGCACGTCAGCTTCATAACTGGGGCAGCTGCCCTGGAGGGGGGCCTTGGGGACAGGGATGGCATCTCCCTTTTGGCAGGTCCAGTGCCTCCCTGAGCCCCACAAGCAAAGGGGCCGGGCCGGGCCGGGGGAGGGAGCGAGGCAGTGAGTTCTGCCTGCCAGACGGCAGGTGGCTTGTTGGGTCGCACAGTGTTTCAAGCAGATTTTGATCTGATTTCCAACATTCAAAACTTAGGAGATTTTCGAAATACAAAACCACGCTCACATTTTCTCCGCAAAGTCATAGGTGTGCCTGCAGCCTGGGTCTGTGCCCACCTGCTGGCCACCGGCCACTGAGTGAGCGAGAGGCACCCGCCCTCAGGCAGGGCCAGCCTGGCCCCCGCCCCCCTCAGCCGCTGCCTGCCCCGTGCTTCCGCCTGCACCTCCGTGCTGCCCGTTTTCAAGTTCCTGGCTAACGGGACAGCGACTTCCCTTATCTGCTCTGGATCAGCCCAGAAAACCTAGCAGCCAGCCGCTCGGGGCGTCGACGTCCTCCCGGTGGGCACTGGGGGTGCTGTTTCCATTGCGTCAGACAAAGGTGACCTTTCAGGACAGTCACAGTTTTCCTGCCCCACCTCATTCCGGACTCGGGGGTTCCTCCCGGAGGTCCACCCAGGTTGACCCCGTCTGTCCTGTCGCAGACCTTCTGTAGCCACTTGTTTGGGGTGGATTCATTAGAAGATAAATAAGAACAGGACCCGAGACCGAGGGACCGGCAAAGATGCCGTCAGACGTAGTCGCTCCCCATCTGGTCGGAGGCCCCTCCGTCCTCGAGGGGATGCGGCATCTCCGGGCCCCACCTGCATGTTGCCTGGCCGCAAAGACAACGAGGCGTAGCAGCCTCCTGCTGATAATTGAACACGCTTCTCCCTTTTCACAGCTTTCTCCCCGGTGAATTTCATTTGTGTGCAAGTAAACACAAGTTTGCAGAGAGCACAAGGAGAAGCTCACTGTTCTGTCTCCTTTTCCCCGCAGATTGAAGGTTGAGCGCAACCTGAAAGGAGCCGCCCTTCTGTTCCTCGTTATTGGACTCGGGACGCCGTTGACCTCGGAAACTGAAGATGAGGTTGCCATGGGAACTGCTGGTCCTGCAATCCTTCATGTTGTGCCTTGCAGGTAGCGTGTCATTTGAAAACTTTTTGATTTAAAAAACTGCCACTGTATTTCACACTAATTCAGAAGTGGGCCTCCACGTGGGCTGGCCACGTGACGTGGTGAGCGCGTTCGGGCTGCCGCTGTTGGGTGCTCGTTCCTAAAGGTCGTCTAGTGGCTCTTCCCACGGCGTGGTGTGCAGATCTGGGCATTGATGTTTCACCTGTCCGTCTGGTCCTTTCAGAGTTGTTTGAACCACGGTTTCATTTGAAAGTAGTTATTTTTGCTCATCCCGTGCTCGGTTGTGGAGATATTGGGCAAGGAAATCGATGACACGGTTGAGGGTGTTGCCGGCGCTGGTGTTGGGCGGGGAGCTCTTTCCGTATCTGCACTGATATCACCCGGCCCCTGGTTGCACACGCTCTCTCTCGCTTTCATTCCATCACGCCTGGAGCCCGGCAGGGGCCAGAAAGCAAGCGGGCGGCTGGTGTCTGCCGCATACTCACGGTCAATACCAGACGGGGCTTTAAAAACCGCAGGTGGTTTGGCTCAGTGGTTGGAGCATCGGCCTGCGGACCAGGGAGTCCCGGGTTCGGTTCCCGCTAGGGGCATGTACCAAAAATCAAATCAAATAAAAAGTGCAGACATGCTAACGGTGGCTTTCTCGGTGTCCGGAAGATGAGAGACCACCGGTGGACATCCATAGTTCTGGTGTCATTGTCGCGCCCACCGGCATGATGGGGGGCTGGCCTCCGGATGCAGGGCTTTTGGTAATGTGTCTAGTTGGCCTGCTTTGTGACTTAGAATGTCGAGTCCAGGAGGGCACCTGGAATAGATTTGTGTCTTCCCAGCGTGAGACAGAAATGAGTTTGGGATCACCGTTACTTCGATGCGCGCGCTCACTCGGCGTTACTGACGACCTCCTCTGCCAGGAGCCGGCTCTGTGCCAGGAACCGGGAATCTGACCCTGAGCAGGGCGGGCCGTCTGCGCCCTCTGCACTCGGCCAGCTGAGCCCCGCAGGTCTCTGGACCGACAGCGTGAGGTCGCAAGTGATTTACAGTCATTACGCGGTGCGGGCGGCCACGGTGTCCTGACGTGCGTGGATCCCTCACGCCGAGCACCCGGTGAACTCCACCCGTCATGTCTCGTGACCCCTAGGAAGTGCACTGCTCGCTTTCACTCCTACGACTAACGTTACGAACATCATTACTGAAGCATGAGGGCGTTAGAAACTGCCAAGGTCACCACGTGGGTCCGTGGTAGGACTAACGAGACTGGAACTCAAGCAGCCGAGCTCCAGGCCGTTTTGCCCGAAGGTGCGCGGGGATGTTGCAGCCTCTGGCTGACCTGTGCGGCCCACAGCTGCGCGTCCATCGTTCACATCTCGGTGTGTACTCTTCCGTGTTTCAGCTGTGAACTCCCATCCCCCATGGACCTTGGCGTGCTCTCCCTTCAGACCCTGAGCCCCTTGCCTTCCCTGAGCTCCTTGAGCGGGGAGCTCGGACCTTTGGGCACCGAGCCGTCTCTTTTAGAGACGTTAGTTCTCTCTCCCTGTGGTCAGGACCCAAGTCGTCCCAGCATCGGCGATGAGCCCCGGGCTGGGTGCTCTACCTGCGCTTCTCTGGGCTGTTATACGTCCTGACCCTCCTGAAGTCAGGCCTCAGCTGTGCTGCCGCGCTCACCTCCTGCTCGGGGATAACCACGCTTCACGCGGAGCGCGGTGCACGATTCCCCGCACACGGTCACAGCAGCTGTGTGTCGAGCCCACCGTGCTGAGTGAACACACGCAGAAGTGGAGGGGCAGCCGCTTCCTCCTCCACTGAGCTTGGGAGAACTCGGGGTTCGCTCTTACGAGGTGCACCCCTGTCTGCCTCACTCAGCTTAGTCGGGGAGCCGGGTCTCTGGCTGTTCTTAGGGGGGCTTTTCTGTGTGAACGGATTTATGTGCATTAGTATTCTCCCACCATGTGCCTCCCGTGCTGTAGGTGAGGTCAAGCTGTAACGAAGGGTTTGTTTCCTTGCTATTCGTCTTGATTTCATTAATTTACATAGCGCGCAGATTTCTCCGCGGCTCGCTGTCCTCCTTGTCCATATTCCCTCACGCGTGCGTGTCTGGGTGAGTTTTTTGCAGGGGAAATATGTGTCTGTGATGTTTGCCATAATTAGTGAGTCTCCAACACAGCTTTGCCCAAACTGGACCAGTGGTCCGGCGTACCGGCCGGGTCCCGGCGGAGCGGCTGGGCCAGGCCCGGAAGCCGTTTCAGGGCGTAGATGGGGGGGTCTTCCCATGTGCCAAATGCTAGACTCGGTCGCAGACAATAATTGAAAATAAAGACTGTATTCTTCTTCTTAATCAGTTTGAACCACGGATCACAAACTCTACAAGGAAGCTAACAAATGAGCGGAACATTCTTTTTCCTTTTTTTTATATATTTTTATTTTTTAATTACAGTTGACACTCCAGATTATATTAGTTTCACACGTACCACACAGTGATTAGACATTTCCATCCCTTACTGGGCCCTTACCCACCTGGTACCAGATGTAGTTATTACAGTATTATCGACTCTATGCCGGGCTCTGCTGTACAAATTGGTACAGCGTCTGTGGAAAGCAGTATGAACGTTCCTCAAAAGATTAAAAATGGCACTATCTTGTGAGCCAGCGATTCTACTTCTGAGTATCCATCTGAAGAAATAAAAAAACAATAATTCGAAAGAATACAGGCACCCGGTGTTCATCACAGCGTTATTTTAAAAAGCCAACACATGGAAGCAGCCCAGTGTCCGTCAGTAGACTAGTGGATAGAACAGCTGGGACATTCACACAATGGAATACTACTCGGCCCTGAAGAAGGAAAGCGTATCATTTGCAACAGCATGGATGGACTTGGAGGGTATTATGCTAATTAAAATAAGCCAGACAAAGAAAGACAGGTACCATATGATCTCACTTATATGTGGAATCTGAAAAACAAAATAAACAAGAAACAGAACAGAACACTCCTAAAGAAAGAATGACTGCTACCACCCAAGAGGGAATGTTGGCGACTAAGGAAAATCAGAGAAAACACATCCCGCTCAAGGGCCGACCAGTTCCCAGCTGCATTATTACGTGCAGGTCTCTCACTTTTTAAGATGTTTATGCATAAATCTTCTCATTCTTATGATTGCCACCGAATTCAACTCACATTTAAATATAAAAATGAAAAGCAGATAAGACGAACCCAAGCAGCCTTTATACGAGAAGTAGCGCCTGGCCCTCCAGTGTGCGAGGTCTCTCTCACGCGTTTGGTTCCTCATGGATGTTAGACTTGATGTCAGAAGGCACTTCGTGCTCCGGAAGTCCCGTCACGAAGACGGATTTGGGCCGTCCGGTTCTGCTGCTCCCAGGGTCAGAGGACACAGACGGGCACACAGTGAGAGCTCCCGCAGGGGGGACGTCGGTAACAGAGTCCGGGAGCCGTCTTTCCGCTCCCTCCATCCCCCCAGTGAAGCCCAGGCCGGCCCGGCACGCCCCTCCTCCATGACCCTGCAGCCCAGCAGGGAGAGCGAGGGCGGAGCTCAGCTCTGCAGGTGCATCAGTCGCTCCCCAGAGTCTCCCGCTTGGTCTCAAGAGTAAACACAGCAACAGGCAGTAGTCAACGAGGTCACAGTTCTAGACAGATATGCAACCTGGTCCTGCCTCTGTTCTTGCAAAAGCAACAAGTATTCAATTCAGACCCGAAGAGAGTTGGGTCAAGGTCAGTTCTCCTATCGTTGCCGCGAAGCGCAGTCCTGGGGTGACATCTGGTTGTCCCTCGTCGGAGAAGCTGGCTGGGCAGCTGCGCGCAGGGCGGGTTCCTGCTCCCCCCGCGCTGTCTCCCAGCCGCGGCCGTGGAAGGGAGCGGGTGGAAGACAGATTTAACAAGGCGAGAGCTAATAACGGGATTGCAAAAGCAGCGGCTCCAGTGATAAAAATTCAGGAACAGAATGGGCAGAAAAATGCCCAGAAAATAATAAACGGCCAGTGCCGGCTCCGCGTGAGCCTCGATGTCGGGATGTAAATACGTTTCACGGTGGGAAGATATTAATCAGTAATGAAGATGTCGAGGCAAATACAGAAACAGGCAGCCGCTCTAGACCCCCAGAGGCACGGCCATATAGCAACAGCCACACAACCCAAAGTTATTAAAAATAGCCACTTAAGAGCTCTCCCGAAGCAGGATCATTAGCTATGCTCAGCAAAGCTGGGTGTGTTAACTATAAATAAATCTCCCTGACTCATAGAATCTAGGACATGCTGTACCTAGGAAGAAAAAAAGAAAAAAAAAAAAAGGTTGGACTCTGTCGAATGAAACAAATTAGGAAAAGTGGGGAAAACACACAAGTGCAAACCCCAACATGAGAGGCGCTTAGCGTCGGCTCGCGGGATAAGTTCCGTTGGCCTGCGGGAGGGAGGGTGCTCCTGGCGGAGGCTGGCTCACCTGGAGCAGCCTGTGGCGTCCAGACCAGCCCGCAGGCCCCTGAGACCGGCAGAGCCGGAGAGAGCCCGGGCTCCCCGTGAGGCCGGCGGAGTGCCCCTCGGCAGCTGTGGGCCAGGCTACGTGTCCCCCGCCGACCTGGGCTGCTTCTTGTTCGTCTGCGAAAGGGCAGACTGAGAGGGTTGGCTCCGTGGAGGAGTCCGTGGGGGTTGGGACCACGTCCGGATTCTCTGTGCGGATCACGGGGTCCGGTAACAAGCAGCGGTGGGCCTCAGCTGTTACTCATGTGTCCCCCACGCGAGGACCTGCCCCTGAGCGCGCCGGTCACTTCTCGGTGCAACGGTCCCTGCCGTCCGAGCAGGGAGGACGGCGACGCCCAGGACCCGCTTCCTCGAACCCTGGCGCCTGCCCGTCTTCAGTGGCTGTGGGTCCTGCAGCAGCCACAACAGGTGACGTTCCCTCACCTTGCGGCCGTGTGTCCTGTCTATAGAGTGGGCTGACGAACCCTGCTAAGTGCAGAGCGCTCAGAGGAGTACCTGGCTCCGCGGCCTGGCCTCGTGGG